TATTAAGCTATGTCTGGAATTTCCAGATGGGCTCAGTTTCCATTTAGGCATCGAAATAAGTGGTTAGATGATCAGAAGAGCAGCTTGGAAAATCTGGCTCTTAGGCTATGTCAAGACTGCAGGCTTCTTTCAGAAGAAGTGTTTCCAGAAGAAATCTTCTGAAAAAACCTCTTCCGAAAGAGCGTCCACACTGCCAAAGTGCATCAAAAAAGCAATCTGCTTTTTCAACAGTTAGCATCCACACTGAATGGACACTATCTCACATGCAAGCTGTGATTACTAGGGGCGGAATGGCCACCAGGGCACCTGTGCTTTTTCCTCTTTCCTCTTCTTGTGAAAGAACTTCCTCTTCCCCATCCACACATGCCTTTTTCGGAAAGAGCTCTTTTGGAAAAAAGCTTCTTCCTCATAGAAAGAGGATTACCAATGCCGGAGAAACCCCTCTGTTCTTTTGATTTACTTTTGAAAGAACGTGATTGCAGTGTGGACGTTACTCAGATTTTGTCAGGAAAACAGCCTTTTTTCCGACAAAACTCTGTAGTGTAGACATACCCTGTCTTGGGTGCCGAAATGGGAGCTGAGTTCTTAAATGCAGCCTTGGACTTTTGTGAAAATGTGGCCCCCGTGTCTCCCTGAAATGTACAAGCCCTGAAAAATAACCCCGGACCGCAGATCTTAGAGGGGCTGGTCACAAACTCAGAAACATCCCAACAAACAAAACTGCAAAGATATACATGTGGAAAAAGTGGAGGGAAAATAAAACCCAAATGGAGAGGGAGGCAGAAGAGAGAAGAGAGGAATGGACGAGACTAGAGGCAGAGGCACATGGGTCGTACCAGGTAAGAAAAACAAATAACTAGCTGATTCAGGATTTTGTTCTCTTTTTCTTTTATAGGGCGGAACTGTATTTTTACAGCTGCAGTCCCTTAAAATGGGATTTTCCCCCTTTTAAACAAATTCCCATCAAATAATGTTTCATAAAAACAAGCGTTCCTCTTCTAAACCCCAAAGACGGAGAAGTAATAAAATCTACAAGGCCGTCTCTCACCCAATGACAGAAGCTTCTTTAAATGAACAGAAAGAAGAGTGCCACGCTGTAAGAACTTATCTATATGTAAAGCCCACAGAGGATGCTGGCTGTTATCTGGAGGGATTGACCCTGCGACCTTAGGGACTAAAGCCATGTTCCTGTACGGGATGAGCTAAAAGGGCTTCTGGCTCTCAGCTAAGGCTGTAGCACAGACGCCACTCTCCCTTCTCAGCAGGCTCAGTGCTTCTGGGTTACATATACTTATGTGGAGATTGATGCTCTGGCAATCAATGTTCTGGGGTTTGATTTAGTGGGTCTGGTAAGGGGCCCAGTGGGGCCCTCGTTGACCCCGGTACTCCACATAGTAAAGGAAATTGGTGGGAGAGACTCTCCCATCGATCTCCTGCTGTGGAGACACCTCAGAAATTCAGCTTAAGGTACATTGACTCCAGCAACACAAAGCTGGAGTTGTGGATCTTAAGTCAACTTTCTCCCTAAGTGTACACCAGGCCTAAGGTGTGACATAACGTGAACTTGCATGACAAGATGGGCTGAGACTGAGACAAAACAACCAAATCACCCGCCCCAGGGCAGGGGTGAGTCCCTACCAATCCGGGTGTAAGCCATGGCAATTCTGACACTAGTACAAGCAAGTCATGTTTGGTTTAGACTGTGTTTACATTCATTCACAGCAGTGGGTGCAAAGGATGGAAAGCACACACCGAGCAGGCCAGAAGATATAACGCAAGCCCATAGCTTAAGTTTAGCTAGAGGCCCCTTTTGGAATAAAACCACAGAACATTACTCGGCCGCTTTGGATTGCTGGTAACATGAAAATCAGCAATGGTGCAACCTTTCTGTTTTAGATACTTATTAACGGCCGCCAAACATTGCGAATGCAGCACTCAGGTTAGCAATGGGTACCACACACGTTGAGTTCAGCTACACACAATCTCTTGAAAACAAATTTTGGGATGTGACACCCCTGCAGCATAACCTTTACTCTGCCCCGCGCAGCGGGCAACGACCCCTGGGAATGGTTCACAGATGAAAGCACCATAATGCACTGTAGCTAGGACCCAGGACACAGAAACAGCAATGTTCCTTTGAGGCCATGTCCGAGATCACTTTCACAACGTACTCCCGGGGGTAGGGCAGTGCTCTCAGCCCCATATTGCAGATGGGAAACTGAGATGCAAGAGTTTAAGTAACTAGTCCAAGGTCACTCAGAAAATCTGTGGCAGAGCTGGGATTTGAAGCCAGGTCTGCAGCTAGTATCCACACCACTGTACAGGCCTTTTGGTCTCCTATCTCTAGGCCACGTTCCCACATACTCTTAGAATCGGCAGCACCTGAGGGTATGAGGAAGGGTGGATTTCATTTCTCTCGTAGCCTTCAGACACGGTGCAGTCAGCAGCAGCAGACATACTGTATGTTGGCTCTGAGCAATACCATTAGAGGCCAGTTTCCATTCCTGCATGCCACCAGGCCGGGCTAGGCAAGGGCTTGCTTTCTGGGCCATGTCTTTCCATCTCAGGAGGTCATCCGGGGAAATGGTGCCAGCAGCGTATGTGCATCAAAGCTACTTCTACAAACGTAGCTGGCTCGCGATCTGATGTCAGGCTGGCTAAGTGCTCAGCCTTGGAGACACCCACACTCAGACCCATTTAAGTTTATAAAACCTCAGGGAGGGAGAAAGCTCCACAAACCGCTTCTCAGACCATGAACCTTGGCAGCTGCGGATCACGTCCCACGTCTAAAATAAATCTGCTTAAATGGGGTGTGAAAAACAAGCCATCGCTCACACATGACAAATGCCCGTGCTGTACTTTCCAGCCCCTTCCACTCCAGGGGGTCAAATCCAGGCCTGGGGGATGCCTGCAGAAGTCCAAGTCTAGACCCATTATCTCCATTCTTTTTGTCTGAGGAAAGGCACAGGGAATAGTGACTTTTTATTAGGTCCAGATGGGAGAAAAATAATGGATCTTATCTTGCAACCCTTATTCACATGAATAAGCACTACAGAACCAGGGCCAGGGGCCTTGGCAACAGATTATTCTGAGGGACCCACTCTCCACAGACCCAAATCTGTGTTTGCATTACAGGCTAATCCCCTGTTGCATTGCTAGCTGAGTCTGGGATTTCTGAAGGAGTTATAGACCTACAATCAGTGGGAGTTAACTGGATGCATAATTCTTGACCTCCTTTGAACCTCTGTCCCCTATGGAGAGAGATTTGACCTGGGTCTATCGGTGCCCCCTGCGGTTTGGGGAAAAACCTCTAGAATTATTTTTTAAGTGTCAGGTTTTGCAAAGGAAGTTTGATTTCTTTAAACACCCCCATATGTCAAAGGAAATTCACGCGCCATGACAACTTGCGTATGTTTAGCTAAATAGCAGTGGAAACAAAGTTCCCTGTTTGCAGGTCATGCTGGCCTCACTTTTTGCGACTGCCAGGGGACTAGAAACCCAAAAGAGCTAAAAGCCAACCATCCTGAGCTCTGTCCAGAAGCTGCTGTTTTTATTTTGGTTCTGAACGAGGAAAAGCAAGTTCTCACTTGCTAACTGATTTCTGGTTAAAATAAATACACTCCTGTCTCTTTCCTCCCCTCCTCCTCATCCCAAATTGACTTTCTGCCCCAATAAATAGCCCGTGAAGAGTACAAAACCAGAGCCTTGGTAGCTGGTCTGACTTTCACAGATTCTCAGCTGGCTAACAAAGCAATGGGCTAAAATGCCAGCGACGAGCGAGGAAGGTTTCTGAGAACTAAGACTTAGAAAAATAACTAAGGTCAAAGTTCCTGGCTTCCTAGGTAGCCTCCAGTCCCAGGAACAATGATGCTGTAAGTGGAGATTTAAGAGAGAAGGAGCTTCAAGCCAATATGACTTTACACAGGCTTCCTTGTCCAAGAGCTGTAAAGGATCACAGCCCAGACCTTGAAGGAAAACAATACAGGTCCCCAGGCAGGGATAAATAACATGGCAGACGAATGGAGCTCTTGAATTTGTCAGGTCCAGAGTCCCTGCCATGGCCCATTCAGGCTGGGAGAATCTGACTGCGCTGATGGATTTGTTTAAAATGGAGATAACGCGTTTCATCCATACACAGTAAAGAGCCGGACAATAAAGAGAAGCAGGATTTTACTGTTGATCCTACCTGGCCTTGGCAGAACGGGGAAAATATCCTATCAGGTCAAACCACATTTCTCGTTAATAGCTGGACACCCAGCCTGTGTTTATAGGGGAGAAGAAACCCACAAGAGCTACCCGTCAAAGCAGGGAGTGACAGACAATGAAAGCCCCGTCTGTGCAGGCAAGGAAAGGTTTCTTTAGAAAAAGGCAGCTAGCTCTTTTCCCTCTCTGCTACTGGGGGCCTCTTATGTGCTGATTTTTATCCTCCTTGCAAAATTAAAACCACCACGGACTGTGAATTAAGAAATCATGCTCCGACTACCTTCAGGTAACCCCCCCCCCCCGAATTCTGAGCCGGCTGCAGTTTTGGGAGACTCAGTGAAAGATTAGACAGCCCGTCCTGTGATTTATTCCAGGAAGCCTCTCCCATAACTTGCTCCGAACCACCTTAACCGCTCCATCGACATGCCATTTCCTGGCAGTATTTTTTTGCAACTGGGTTCCTACCAGGAAAAGCAAAAGTGCCTCTCCGTCGGCTCAGCCCCTGAAGCAGCCAGAGGGATGGTACATCAGCCCGCAGGATGAGCCATTCAGAGTTTTTGCACCGTCCTGCCCTTAGCCTGGGACTCGTCACAAGGGTTAAAGACGCGCGCGCTCACTGGGCTTTAAGAGTGTCTAAGCTTGCGGCTGAGTCAATTTTTCTGAATTCTAGATGGGGGATTGGGGGGGGGACCTGCCCGGAATGGAGCTTTCCTTGGGAAAGAAGATGCAAGCCTTTTCCCACTGGGCCCCCCGGAGGAGTGAGAAGTACCGAGAAGCAGGGTTCGTCTTTCACTCACCGACGGGATCCTGGAGCTGCCGTCTCCTGAGCCCAGCCTTTCCCCCTACTCGCCGGAGCAGGACTTCACCGCACACTGAATACTTTGATTGTCCTTTGCCAAGCAGTGACGTCGACTCCCTTGCATGTTTTCTCTAAACACTGGCATGCTCTGCTCCGGGACAAAGTGCTTGGTTTTAGCTGGTGGGAAGGGTTCTGGATGGGGCTGGGAAAGGGCAGTGGAGGGGGGGGGGTGAACTTTGATTTCTTCTTAGGAAAGCTGTGAACTACTAAGCAGTGCCCCACGCAGGGTTGTGTGGCTGATGCCAATTTGAGCTACACACCTGTCCAGAGGGGGGAACGCGGCAGGTACGGCTCATGCAAAGGAAGTTTCTCCTCCATGGAAAGTCTTGCGTGGCAGTGTGTCCTAGTGGCTAGAACACTGCACAAGGATGCAAGAAACCTGGGCTCTGTTCCTGGCTATTTGGACAAGTCACTGCTCCCTACTCGGTGCCTCAGTTTCCCCATCTGAGGTAGCAATGCTGACCTCCTCTGGAAAGTCTGATGAGTACTACTGACAAAAAGTGCCTTGGTTCTCTTCCTGGCACCACTGCTGGGTGACTTTGGACAAGTCATTGCGCCTGCTCCGTGCCTCAGTTTCCCCATCTGGAGCTAACAATGCTGACCTCCTCTGGGAAGGACATTGAGCACTATGGACAAAACATGCCTGGGATCTGTTCCTGGTGCCACTACTGAGTGACTTTGGACAAGTCACTGCCCCCACTCTGTGCCTCGGTTTCCCCATCTGGGGATAACAATGCTGACTTTTTCTGGGAAGCACGTTGATCACTACTGACAAAACGTGCTGGGTGACAGTGAGGTAGGGTTATTTCCCCGCTTCTACTGCTGTATATATGGCACCTTTGCTAAGTCAATTGTTCTGTCTGGTGGATCATCCGCTGCTCTGATGGACACTCTGACTGTGTCTAGACTGGCCAGTTTTTCCGGAAAATCAGCCGCTTTTCTGGAAAAACTTGCCAGCTGTCTACACTGGCCGCTTGAATTTCCGCAAAAGCACTGACTTCCTACTGTAAGAAATCAGTGCTTTTTGTGGAAATACTATGCTGCTCCTGCTCGGGCAAAAGTCCCTTTTGCGCAAAACTTTTGCGCAAAAGGGCCAGTGTAGACAGCTGAGATTTGTTTTGTGCAAAAAAGCCCCGATCACGAAAATGGCGATCGGGGCTTTGTTGTGCAAAAGCGCATCTAGATTGCGGAAAAGCGTCCGTGCCAATCTAGATGCTCTTTTCCGCAAATGCTTTTAATGGAAAACTTTTACGTTAAAAGCATTTCCGGAAAATCATGCCAGTTTAGACGTAGCCTCTGGGTTTGGCTCATGATTTTAGACATGTCAGTTGTAAAAAGGACTCCAGAGGCATGTTCAGGCCAGAATCCCCAGAATCGAAATAAAACATAAAAGGGCTGGACAGCAGACCCCCATAAGCAGGGCATTACACCAGTAGCCCCGCATAAGCCGTGTAAAGAACTGCTCATTGGGGTGGAAAAGGGATTCATAATTCTTGATGCAAAGTACTGGTTCTTCTAGCTCATTGCTCTTTCTTGCCATGATCATCTAACACCGACAGGCAAATCCAAACCTGGGAACCTAGGGAGCTTAGAACATGAGCCTCTAGGGCAGTATTTCTCAAGTAGTGGTATAAGTACCCTTAGGGGTACTTGAGAGAAGTCGGGGGGGGGGGCGAGTACGTCAACACCACTGAGGGTATGTCTAGACTACATGCCTCTGCCGACTGAGGCATGTAAATTAGACATACCGACATAGTCAATGAAGTGGGGATTTAAATATCCCCGCTTCATTAGAATAAAAATGGCTGCCACGTTATGCCGGCTCAGCTGTTTGTTGGCACGAAGCGGCAGTCAAGACAGGAATCGGTCGGCAAGGAAAGCCTTTGCCGATCGATCCTGTAAATTTCGGTGCACAAGGCATAAGGGATCGGTCAGCAAAGGCTGTCCTTGCCTTCAACTTCACTCATAGCTTCAGCTCCATAGTGCCTCACGGTTCCGTAGGATGGAAGCTCCCGATTATCTAAACCAGGGTTTCTCAACCAGTGATACTAGTACTCTTAGGGGTACTCAAGAGAAGTCTGGGGAGGGGTACGTCAACACAACTGAAATGTGGAGAAAACTGAATTTTTATTTTAAGTTTTACAGCGTTTTATTATTTTTGTATTTTTTACACCCACAAATTTCATTGCCCGCCCGGCTACTACGAGTAAGTTGTTTAAACAAATGTGTTGCAACTGTAGAAAATTTTTGTGAGTGTCTGAAAACTGTAGGTGCTGCGGGTACTTATAATTTTTTTTTTTTGAAAAAGGGGTACTTTCTAAAAAAAGATTGAGAAACACTGCTCTAGCGCATGAGCTAGAAGCTAGCCAGGTCTCAGCTACAGCTGTAGCACAGACTCATTGTTCTCTCTGTAAGTGGTCTCGGTGCCAGTAGGTAGAACCGTGCCCCACACCCAGCAGGTGTGTGGGGTACCATTGCTCTTGATTCTAACGACCTCTCAAGGGGACCATTCCTAGGAGGTGGATGAAACCAAGAGGAATTCTTCCTGCTCCAAGCTACTAAGGACTACGCAGCGGCTCTAGCAGGGCGCAGTGATTCAGCCAACCTCAAAATCTATCTGCTTCGACGCCAGGTCTTGGCCCGCCGCCGCCAGCCCAGCGCTCGGCTGGTGCCGCATGAGTGGCAAGGGCTGGGTCTCAGCCAGGCTGCTCTTTACCATTGGTGGGAGAACCAACAAATAAGTAACGAGCAGTCCCAGTCCATAGGGTTCCCGTGAGGCTCCCAAGCAGAAACAGCTGCTGGAGGTGTGTGTGGCTTTTGCTTCGACGCCAGGTCTTGGCCCGCCGCCGCCAGCCCAGCGCTCGGCTGGTGCCGCATGAGTGGCAAGGGCTGGGTCTCAGCCAGGCTGCTCTTTACCATTGGTGGGAGAACCAACAAATAAGTAACGAGCAGTCCCAGTCCATAGGGTTCCCGTGAGGCTCCCAAGCAGAAACAGCTGCTGGAGGTGTGTGTGGCTTTTCCTGGGCTGCGGAGTGTGAGCTCCGGTGACCTTGCCTGGGACGGGGGGAGGCATGCCATGGAAATGACTGTGTGTGGGGCACAAAGGGGGCTTCCTCTGTAGGAGCCAGGCAGGATTGCATGACCTGAGCCAGCCAAGGGGGCACAGAAACGGGCTCTCTCTCCACCTGGCTGCAGAGGAGACACCAGAAAGGAGGA